AAACACTTTGTGCGAGTATATAATTTTTGATGTAATCTATCGGGCTTTACCCAGACTAGGAGTCTACAAACATAATCTTCCAGCGATATGTCCAGATATTCTCGAAAATAAAATATAATCCTTTCCACTGGAGTACGTCTAATCGCGAGAGTATACATGCATAACATGTTTATCGAGCTGAAAACGAAAAAAAGTAAATTTGTGTAGGTAGATAAGATAAATTTCGAATTTTGTTAAATAACATAGCTGGGGTTTTTTAGATTGCGAACACAATGAAGTGTATAAGTAAATAATAATAATAAATATTAGATATGTGGGTTACAAGGCAATTTGAAATTATTTGAAATTTATTTCACACAAATTTATTATCTACAAAAAAGTAATTAGATTTATTCTGATACCCAATGTGGAAATTCCTGGATTATTGTTATTGGAGAGTAAATTCAAATATTTTTTCCTGTTCAGAAGAACTTGTTTTCAATTAACATTTTCTTTAGACATTTGCCAAATGGAAAACAGACATGTTTTACTCTACCACTAAAAGTTTAAATATAATAAATACGTTAACGCACACATACCGTTTGATTTATTATTTATTTACTTGTAGAGGAATATAAATTTATAAATACCTACATGTGTAACCTAACATGAGTTCGTTATTCGGTTCCAGAGAGATAAGTACATGGTTTGTACAGAGTTAATGAGTATAAGTTATGATACTTAATAGTAGATCGTCCAATATTCGAAATAACTTTATAGAAAATAATCGATGATTCGTTCACCTCGAGTTTCTATTCCATACATTAGAGACAAAGCAATTTTAGCAAACAATGGGGCTATTTAATCGATAAACGACAAAATGAAAAAAAAAACAGTCCGTCTAGCCATTTCACGTTAAATAAACGGGACCAATAAGGCAGAAAAAGTTTGTAGTAACTTTCTGGGAAATAAAAAAAACCCATTACATTGTACGCCCTCAGAAAAATCCAAGTGTAATTTAAGTAATAAAAAAAAGTATAAAGAAGTCAATCACACCCCTTTTGTAACTATACAAAAATACTTTTATGGTTATTTTATCGATTTATAATTAAATAAAATTTTCCAAAATATGTAAATTACCAACAGCATAATAACAAACATTCGTGTACAATTATAATTAATTTAACCAACCGGTTATTTTGCAGCTTGGACCATCCGCAAAGCGTCCTAAAAATCGATCGATGTCACGGCACGTGCGACCGATTCAGCTCCATTCTTTAAAAACAAAAAAAAGCGCATAATGCGAACAGCGTTGCCGATATCACTTTAAATGCTTGGCAGCTTAAGCGATCTCATTCCCAGCATTCGTAATCTCTTTTGATCTCCACAAAAATTCAAATTTGGCAACAAAAACACACAGTTAATTAATGATAGTTGTTATTTTACTTCCATTGTTAACACTATTTATCTTCTGATGATTGTAATTTCACCCAAACACATTTATTTCATATTAATCAGCTTCGCAACTTTCGATCAATTGATATTTTTCTAATAAGTAATCAGATATGCGATTTTTTGGTGGAGCCGACAACGCCGCTAAAAGGGCTCCATGTGCGACCTCGCTCCTCGCCCTTCGTCCTGACCCTCGAGAGTACATTATCCTGAAAGAGGCGCTTTCAAGGCCGCCACGCAATACGCATTCCTGCTGTCCGGTAATATACCGCAGGTGTTACGTTTCGGCGGCGATGCGTAAAACGGTAACGTAAACGTAACGATGCACGGTATCGAAAGAGAAAGCTTTTGATGGTGGACAAGCGGACCAGAATGATGGTTTTTTTATGAGATTTCGGCCGGGGAATAGCAGCTTTTTGCGAGGAATTTACTGGTTTTGGACCGGCTGGATTTTACTCCTGTATTCGTTCTGAACGAAGAACTATTATTAGTACGTCCAATTTTGTGCAAGCAACCGTAGAACCTGCTTAATTAGACGCAAGCGATGTTCTAGGAAGAGCCCAAATGAAACTGTTGGCCTCTGCTAGCAACTTTAATGATACAAATTATAAATATGTGGACTCGTATTTATAAATAGACGGTGAGCAATGGGACAAATTAGACAGACAGCTTGTCTGTTTTGTTTAATGATTTCGCAAATACTTGTTGTGTTATAGTTCTATAAGAGTAAAATAGTTTTATCCTGCGGTCAATTACTGCTGCCTGATATTTTTACGTAATAATCCGGTTAAAAAGGTGTGTACAGAATGATGTGAAACGAAAGGACAAATATAAAGTTAATAAAAATAATATAAATAACCTAACAAGAAAATGTCTCAGGAATGTCTCATACACAATAGAATACCTACAGTGAAAAATATCTACGAAAATAACAATAAAATTTGTTTTTCCTGATATGAAAGCGGTAAAAAAGAGTATTAAAAAGTCGTTTAGATTGGAAACCGGAGTTTTCCCAAAAGCGTAAATTTTTTACAGTTCCCATGTCACGGTTGATTGTTACAAACGTTAACGACATTCAATATTCATTCTACTTTCAAGGTTACCTCGCTTTTTACAACATTAAAATTGTTGCGATAAGAATTATGGGTAGTCGTGGCGCTTCCTAAAATGCCCAGCGAACGTTTTGTTTATTTGTCCATAAATGTTTACTAGAGTTTACAAAACATACAGTGTGGTCCAATTGAATGTACAAATTTACAAACAAATTAGGGAAATGAACAACTTTTATTGGTGTTGTAATAACTTAATTGAAACGTTCCAAAGTAATTGAGCGGAATAATAAATAGTAATATTTTCATATTGTTCATATTCATGGCACTATTGAAAAACAAATTAATTCAGATCTTGAATTGGGAAGTACTAGATTCGAATATATGAATAATTGGGTAATATAATGCTCGTTTCTATTCTGAAATTAATTATTTTTTTAATATACATATCTACTATAATGTCCATTAGTTTTAATACACCGTAATTACTTTGAATGTTTCAATAAATTACTCTATTAGCGGCATCGGCGCGGCGTCTTTATTTTCTCCATTTTCTTCATTTTATCCATATCTTAAATAATTGTGAGACGGAGAAATGTAGATGTTATTCCAGTAATTAATTATTTCACTTTAAAATTGCAATGGAAATTATAAACAAAATTTTTTGGAAAATTTTAGCGTTCACATTCCCAATCATTCTTTATTCGGATATTTACTTATTTTATAAATAATCCGAACTATTAAACTGGCGAATAAATATTTAATACTTTTTACATACATATGTATGTATGTATGTAATTATCACACGTCGAGCTCGTGGATTGCGAATTTATAATTTCAATAATGGACTATGTTGATCGCAAGTGCAATAATAAACGTATTACCTACAAATCTTTGATATTTCATTACGAATAGGATAATAATATGAAACATTCTAAATTGGTACTGGTACGTGCCTTACTGTATTGTCATAATACAGTCATTTATCTGCAACTATTTGTTTACAATCGCCCTGTATTTTAATCAAAATCAAATATAATATTCACTAAACATCACACACGACAAAATCAGCATTCCCACATGTTTCAAGTTACATAATCATCGTTACCATCACACTAAAATCGCATATCACTTTACATATGTTTTAGAAAAAAATCAATGGTTGTTTTGTTCGTCGAGTAGAATATTTTCGCGACGCCCAGAACAAGATTTTCGTATTAATTATGTTACGAAATTGGTCCGTCGACGGGAGAACGATTTGAAAGAGATTGTTGTTTTGGTCAGATACGTTATAATTATTTTTTTAAAGATAAATTTAAATTTCTTAGTACCTACCCACCGGGATGATGTAGCGCTAATAAATTTATGTATGTAAATCCTTAAATAAAATGTCATTCTTCGAGATAGAATTTTAGCACATTGGTCTGAAAATTTCGGGTAAATTCTGGGTAAATATCGCGGCGAGTTTGACGTGATTGCTGAAAGCAATTAACACAATGTTAATTGTGTTTTACCTATACTGACCCGGAAACAATGTGGAGATAATTATATTATTATATTGACTCACGGCACAGTCACCTTGTCAATCGATTATTAATAATTTTTTAGATATTGTTTATAATCATATCAAACACATCAAGTAAAAGGTCAACATCTCAAACAAGGTGAAGGAATTGCATGTTCAATACCTTTCCATTATATTGAATTTTCTGGACCAGTTTTTACATTCTTTACAATTTTCATTCATCATTTTCTAGGTCTTTTCTCTGTCATATTTTATTTAATTTCTTAATTGCAAAAGGAAATCTTATTTAAATCTGTGGTTGCCTGGAAGTTTAAATTAATTTAATCTTTTCTAAATTTATGCTTGAGTTTATGATTTCCAATTAAACCTTAATTAATCACTAATTAGTGTAAAATGTGCAAAAGTTTGACAGTGACTGGCAGATCAAGGATTAAGTTGTTAATTAATAATCAAAATGATGTACACTTAAATTTTGATATAAAAATTAAATACATAAAATATTATTTAAATTCTAGGTAAAGTATTTATGAAATATTTTCATTTTAAATTATTAAGTAGGTATATTATTTTATTATTATTCAACTAAAGTGCTATCACAACACGGGTTTTATTTGTAATTGTTATATTCATCGCTAATCAAACCATAAAAGTTCGTATACATTATCTAAATAACGATTTGAACTTATTTTTAATAGAATTATAAAGAATATTTTGAGTGCATAACCACGTAAATATATGCAATTAATACTTATTCGTTCCTTAAAATATCCATAATACTTGATAATACCTATATGTAGGTATATATTACTTTTATATCTACAGTATGTTAATTATAATAGGTACTTACAATACTTTTGTTCCAAATATAGAAATTCAATTATAGACTGCTTTTAAATTGGATTAAACAAATACACAAAAACTTAGAGGTATTTTTTGTTGTAGATAAAGGTAAAATATAAAATAAATAAATCTAAATTATTATCAAAAATACGGACCTTTCCTCCGGCCAAACGGTCCCAAAAAGGCATTGTTCTTCCCAACGATGTTATCATCGATGTATTTTATCAATTTAGGCACGTCCTCGTTCTTTTTGGGCACTGCGGCACTTTTCTGTTTTTGAAAACGAAAAGGATAATCCTCCGGAAAGGCATACAAACGTCTATTCCCATAAGATTTTCTAATTGTCGTAGTGGTCGATGTCATTTTCTCATTTTATATAGCACAAAGGAAACACGATGTCCTAAAGAAAATCAGCCTTTTTTCGCGTCAACGTTCACTCAACACGAGCTATTTTTCGAACACTTTTCACGCTAGATTTTCGCGAGATAAACTAGCCGACTTATATTTTTACCCACTACCAATGCGCCGAGCGTTTGTTACTCGTTTGAGAACCACAGAATATCGCTTCGCTTTATTCTAAGCAGTAAGCACAGCAGGAACCGATCGATTGCTGCAACGGATGTAGCCGAATGGAGTTGATAAAACGAGCAGTATTTTCAAAAATTTCTCGCCTTATTGATAGGCAACTCACATTACACCAACTTTTATCAAATTTGATTTGTGTTTGAACAGCTCTAAGGACCTAGACAAGCAGCGTAAAAGAAGTAGACTGACATTGACGTTTGTAATGACAGATATAGAAAGAATTTTTTGTTCCCTGGCACGAAACACAAATTAATATTAACTAATAAAAACTAATTGAGCTTAAAATTCGCTATATTATTTAAAAATTTGACCCTAATAATTTTTTACAAAATTATGAGTTGTTTGTTCAATTATAATTTGTTGAAATTATTTTTTTTATTAGAATTCGTAAATCGGAAATAACTTCTGGTGACTTTAATTCTTCACAGTTGGTAACATAATACATATGTTTCTTTATACTAATTAATTCAATAAAGCTTCCTCTAGAAATAGCAGGATCTATAGCAAAAATAGTTATTCTAATTATAAAATCGCTGGCAGCGGGTTCTTTTTGAAATCGTCGTGAAATTCTTTAGAAAAAAATTAAGTGTAATCGATTTTTAGTTCGTCAACGACTAGCCCAGTAACGCCGGACATAGCCGAGCTATCAACGATCGTCCACGTCCCGCTGTCGCTGTCGTCGCTGTCAGTGCCCTTTGCAAACAACGGCGAGTTAGTGACTTTTCCGATACATTTTTGCGTATTTCGGTACACGGGAACCAGTGTTACTGAATATTTCTTGAAACTTACGAGCACTTCACTTCTAAAGGTAAGCCGTTCTTCGTTAGCATTTCATTTATCGCTTTGTAAATATTTCAATCGTTTAATGGGAGGTCTATTCTGCACCATGCATTTTTTACAAATCCTTTATGCGTCATGTCTATTCCGCGAAAATCGCTTTTGTGGTCGACTGTCCAGTTTGTTTGAAACGAAATTGTTCAAATTTAATGCTATTCGAACGGTAAATTAGCGAAGTTTTTGGTTTTCGCGAAGATTTGTATGCGATGCTATGCTTTATAATGTTTTCGTTTGCGTGTATTTTCGCAGCTCCTTTTTGAATTGGTTAAATATTAAATTGCTTTAACACAATGATCGCTTGCAAACGGACAAATTGCCGTTTCCTATCGATTTCGAAAAAAAGAACCACGTTGTTTTTCGATGTTAGTATTTCGAGTAATTATATTCGCGTGGTTTGTTTTTTTTGTTCTTTACTCGTTCATTGTGTGCGCTTTTTCGCATTGTTCCTCCACGTTTCGAATTCGAATTGATCATTTATCGGTGTACAAAAGGGACCTTGAATAAGTTAGGTATGTCGTCTGGGACTTTGGCGCTGATTTGAGCTTCGTTTGCGGTCATTTTTCGGGTCGTCGACCCTGTATCTTCTGCCTTTGTTCAATGGCCAAATCATACCGGGTGTTTCACGAAAGCCGCCCGTGAGCGATACACTCGAATAGCAGGTAGTTTTGGGGAACTTATTCGAAATATATTAATTTTTTTTTGGTGTTGATGTAAGTACACTGAATAAGTAAACAGAAAGGAATCGTAAATATTTATTTGAATGCTTTGTCAATAACAAATTGTATCAAATATTTTGGTATATAAACAGTAGGAGTAACGCGTTTGTTATAATCAATTTGATGTAAGAAAACGAAACGATTTAATTTGTTCCTAGAATTTGCGAAGAAATCAAAATGATAACCAGTAAATTGGATCCCAAATGGTGATATTATCGTTCGTATTTAATCGATTAAGTTCTGTGAAAGTTTGGGAATTTTTAAAGTAGGTTGTTTTATCAAAAATTTTGCGCCGGTTTTTCTGTTAATATTAATCTTCGCGGAACAATGTTTGTCATTAACAAACAAATATAAAGGAGGTTAAAAAGTAGAGCGTAACGTCGTTTAATTAAAAAGTAAATAATTACGATATATTTATTAGTTAAAATAATAAGGTAGAAAGTTATTTTTCCAACTGTAGAGCTTCTTGGCTGAAGATAAATTTGTGAATCAATATTTAGAATATCGATTGAGTAAATACCAGTTATTTGCTTTGTCGATTAATTAGAAATGTAGTTAGATTTGGAATTTGTATAGAACATTGCGTACTAAATTCCAAACGTAATTAATTCGGTTTAAGGAAATTAATTTTAACGTTTTTATTCCACCAATTTCTCATCGAGCATTTAACGAAACCTCGCTCGTATTTTATTCAAATTCCAAACGTTCTCCGATAGCGGCCTCCCCTTACGATTAATTCCCTCCCTCGTAATTCGTTATTTACGTTTATCTTCTCGTCTGGCAATCCACACAAAAAACCGTCTACCCTTCGAAATTTCGGTCGTCGATAAAGGCCCGAAGGAGACGTTCATCGACCTTGAGATAGGTAAATTCGTCACGGTGAATTGGTTAAACTGAGCACATTCCTCCGCATCTGCACGGGTTCGTACGGTGTAACGAATTTCCCATGTTATCATGTCGATTTGTTTATTTCATTTCTCACTAAAAGTGTTTTCTTTTTGTTAAATTTAAATTAGAGCGATGACGCTTTTAATAATTAGACGAACGGACGATTGATTATATTGGAAATTTCGAGAGGTTATCGTCGATGGAAAAAATAAACATTTCGTCCGCTGTATGGAATATTAATCATTAATCGAGCCGCGTCGCGTCGGGGGAAGGTTTCTATGTTAATAGTTCAAGATGCAATCATGAAAATGATCCCGTGCATTAGCGTAATGAAAAACGGCGCGGTTTATTTTCTATTTCCAACGAAAATAGCACGAAGTCGAGTTCGATAAAATATGTGCAATTCGTAAAATTTGTTATTAGATTTTTGCTATTTAAATTCTCCACTTTCTAAAATGTGATTCATTGTCTGGTCGTTTATCGCATAAATTTCCAAACGCCGAACGCGGTTTAGAGGAAGCGTTTGTAAGGCGAACAATAAATTTAATTCGATCCTCCACGAAGACATTGAAGCGGTCCGCACGTTCGACAAATGTAATTACCATGAATTGCATCACCATACTCGCCATACGCGAGCCAAGGTAGCGACCTTAAATTGTCGAGCACAGCTGATTGGTTCGTTGCGAGCCGTACGTAAAACACGCGTACCGCTTTATGAATTTCAATTGCAACTAATCCCACATTAACGACGCTTCGATTTTTTTCCCAACAATTATCGATCGATTTTTCGTTTTCGTTCAAGCGCAGCTATACATAGACAATTGGATAAGGACATATTTCGTTGTAACAATAAGGACAAAAAAAGTGGTCTTCAAACTGTGCGCAAGTCCATTCCAGCACAACGGAGAGCCCCAGGCAAACGGGGCCACAAGCTCGTGTTTCGGTGAAGGACAACGCTCCTTCCACCAAGCGACGCTGGGTCCCACCTTCTACACTGAGACATCAAGATGCTCTTACGCCGGAATCCCGTAATGACCTGGTGTTCCGTAAGGTTCGTATTAACAACCCCATAACACCTATACTCATCTCTAAAACCATCTCATATCGATGCTCCTTAAGAGCATCTCCTATTGGAGGTTTGCAGGAATCCAGTCTTTGCAGGTTTTTTTTCACCAGGATGAACGTATTCTGTCTTTCCCTTCTCATTTACCATTCGTGTTTTTTCTTTTTTAGAGGACTTTTTGCTAGGATTTTGACATTGGTGATCATTCTGGAGATATTTATCTATATCCTAAAGTAACGCCATGTTTCAATTCTAGACCTAATATCCTTTGATCTCTTCATTAAATAATCAATTCATAAGAAAGTCATTGAAAAAGTTCTCATTGTATCAACAAAATAAACTATTAGTGTTTCATAAAAATATCTGGAATAAGTAAATTGTAATAGAAGAGTTTTTTTTTCTAAAATTTTAACACCCTGTAACTCGAACCCAAGAGGTTTAGGACATATATTAATATTAACTTTTCTTCTTAAAATCACCCAAATATTCACATCCTGAAGTATCGACATTCAATTAATTAGCACCCTATATGTTTGCGTGTTATTGATTAAAATAATGTAGGAAATGTTAATTTTTAGGTTCGTGGTATTCTCAACAAACTCACACCAGAGAAATTCCAGAAGCTGAGCGATGATTTGTTGCGCATCGAACTCCAATCCAACGTCATCTTAAAGGGTGTTATCTATCTCATATTCGAGAAGGCCCTCGACGAACCCAAGTACTCGTCTATGTATGCGCAGTTGTGCAAGCGACTGGCAGAAGAGGCACCAAACTTCGAATCCCCCGACAAGCCCACGTCCTTTAGAATTCTATTGCTTAACAAGTGCAAGCTCGAATTCGACAATCGTGCAGCCGCCCTCGACAACAATGGCTCCGACGGTCTGGGAAATGGCGGAGCCAGTTCAGAAGAGGAGGAGGAACGGCGCCAGATCGCGAAACGTAAGATGTTGGGCAATATCAAGTTCATTGGCGAATTGGGAAAATTGGAAATATTATCGGAAAGCATCCTACACAGGTACCGCACGATTAAATAAATAAACTTACGTAAACATCGTATTATCGATGGTTTGTTTCGTTTTAGGTGCATCAGGGAGTTGTTGGTCAAAAGGGGCGACGATCCTTCGGAGGACCTCGAATGCCTCTGTCAGATTTTCCGGACCTGCGGCCGCATCCTCGACACCGCCAAGGGTAAATACCTCATGAACCAATATTTCGAACGAATGAAAACGCTGGCGGATAATCAGGAGTTACAACCGAGAATCAGGTTCATGTTGAAGGACGTGATAGATCTACGCGAGAACGGATGGGTGCCGCGAAAGGCAGTTGTCGTCGAAGGTAAAAAAAACCCTTTAATTCTAATGAAATCAACGTTAATACGATTCGTGCGTGTCTATAGGTCCGATGCCCATCAATCAGATCAAACCGTCGGAGGACAATCGTCCTGGATACAGGCGAGATCGTAATCAAGACAGGGATTCGGAAAGGCCGATCGCCTCGGACTTGTTCCGACATCCCATGAAGACCAGAAGCGGTCTCGATGATATGCTATTGGGTACGGTTTGCAAATCGCTTTATTCCAATAATTTTTCTACGACGAAACTTATTTTAATAGGTATAAATCTGCCCCCTTCGGCGCCGTCGCTGATATCGACCGCGCCGCCTCATTTCGGCTCTCACAACGGTTTCGGTGGTCAAAGAGAGGGCGGTTACAGAGGCCACAACAACCAACGCGGCGGCTCTTACAACTACAACAATCAAAGGGGACAGTACAAGCACAACCAGAACAATTCTAATTCACAATACAACCGTAAGTCACGTTAAAATCATTGACCTGCATTCAACGCCTCCTCTTTAACCATTTAGAGCTCCCCTAAACGAAACGTTTAGAACTGACTAGAATCCTTTTAGAACTGTCTAGAACCATTTAGAACACTCCATGATCATTTAGATCGATTCAGAGCAATTTAGAACTGTCCAGAAACGTGTAAAATTGTTATTTTTTTATCGTAGAATCCAACAAAGACGTGGCGCCCCGTTTCAAAAAGAGCAATTTGATCGTGGCCAAAGACGAAATGGCCGACGTCGAACTGCGACCGAATTCGATGCTCATCACCAAGGCGTCGTCGTTGAAAACGAACAACATCATGAACAACAACAACAACAAAACGTTGGAGCCGGCTTTCGCCCAGCCGACGATCAACAAGCCGCCGACGACGCTGCTCAAGGAGCCGTTGCCCATCAAGCAAATGCCCGCCGAGAAACCGAAGCAATCCAAGAAAGATAAAGTAAGTAAAGTACATATTGTAGTTGAAGGGTGGGTAATTTATAAATGATTTTACGCAGGGTCCGAATAAGGAAGAGGTACTGAAAAAATTCAACACGTTGATAGACGAATATTGGAAAGGGGAAGTCGATCTGAAGCAAGCTATAAATTCCTACAAGGAGCACAAAGTACCCGATAAATTCGCCAAAGAAATGGTTTTGAGCGGTTTATCCAACGCTTTGGAAAAATCAGGTAATTCAACGATACCACTCCTGATCGTAGCGTTATACTAATTCATTATTTAGACGTGGAACAGGAGAAATTCATCAGATTCCTGAGCAATCTCAAAGAGGACAACCTAATGGGCGGCAACGTCGTCCAGGAGGCGTTCAAATCGCTCTGCCACGTGTTGGAGGAACGGGAAAACGAACTGGCCAAGGTCACCAATTCGGCGTCGGTGTTGTTCGCGACGGCGATATGCGAACACCTGGTGCCCCTATCGGACGTCGCCGGTCTCACGGAGAACGGTTCGCATCATCCGCTCTTCTTGCTGGTGTTGCAGAACATCCACAAGAAGAAGGGCAAGTCCGAATTGTCCGAGATGTTCAACAAGAGCAAGGTATTGTTTCACCGCCTTTCCTCCAAGACCTCCATCGTTCTAGTGCTACCTCTTCCATTATTAGCCTTCTTATGATCATTTCGAGGATACCTAAATCAACCTACTTAATCCCAAGCTCAACCACAATGCCTAGATCAACCTAGTGGAACCTCTTCCGAAGGTTACTGTATTCTGATTAGAGTACCAAAGATCCTTTCGAGGATGCCTAGATTAACCTAGTGCTACCTCTTCCAAAGACTACTGCATATTTATTAGACTTCTCAAGCTCCTTTCCACAATGCTTCGATTAATCCTGTGCTCTTCCGAAAGGTACAGCATAGTAAATAGACTTCCCAAGAACCTTTCCAGATCAACGTAGTGCTACCTGTTTCATATTTGCGTTTATTTTACAGGTAAATTTGATGACTCAACTTCCCGAATGCGATAAAACCAAGGAACGGCTCTCGGAGATCCTGGAGGAACGCGACCTGGCGTTCTTGTATCCTCTGCTGCGCATCCAGGCGGACCTGGCCCGTCAACTCCAGGCCGATCCCAATCCGCAGGCGTTCTACAAGTGGATCAAAGAGAATTTGGAACAGTCGAATTTCAACGACGCCGGCTTCATCAACGCCCTCATGACCGTTCTGTTAAAATACATCACGCAGGTATTGTGTGCGCCATTCGAATTCCCTATTTTCGTGTTACTATAATTGTTTCGTGTAATTGCCCGCAGGAGTCATCGGCGTGCGGCGACGAGAAGGCCGTCATCGAGAAGGAATCGAGCCTGTTGCAGCGCTACCAGCCCATCCTGCACGCGTTCCTGCGGGAGAAGTCGAGCTTGCAATTGGTGGCGCTCTATTCGCTGCAGATGCACTTCTATTCGCTGGGATTCCCCAGGGGACAGTTGTTGCGGTGGTTCAACGCCCTCTACGATATGTCGATCGTCGACGAGGAGGCGTTCCTCAATTGGAAGGAGGACGTTACCGATGCATATCCCGGAAAGGGTAACGCTTTATTCCAGGTGAGATTGCCTCGTTTACTCTATTTGATAATGGAGAGAAATACGACGTTTTTCTTCAATGTATTCTAAAAAAGTTATTTTTTGGCCCAAGGAACTTAAAACATAGAAATTACAATAACATAACCCTAGATATGTCATCTGTCATTTGATGTTACATTTCACTTTTGTTCGTTTCTTCTATTTTTCCGTTTTGTGATTGATTAGTGACTTTACCCGTCAGGTGTCACAATAGACCTATTCAGTTTAACCTGTGCTGCGCGCGCATACTGTGGACAATTAGCTGGACATCTAAACGAACAAACGAACGCACCTCAGGTAAAATACGGTTCTGACAACCAGACAACGACAACTTAAGACATACTTCAGACGTCATTTGTCATTATCCAATAATCCGTCGGATTTAATTTGTAATGGACGCGGTGACTCGATACAAATTTGTTTTTACTGCCCAGAAAGGGGTTATAGGCTTAATATTTACATACAAGTCAAGTCTAAGAAAGAGTAAGAGGGTTAGTACAAAGTTTCCGAAAATGCTTTTTGATCGGTTTGCTATAAAATATATTTCAGAGAAATAATCCCATTGACCTATATAAAAAATTATAACCTTTATAAATAAATATACTAAATAATACAAAGAAATACTGTTAAAAAATAATACACACTGAACATAAACAAACATCAAACGGAAACAAGAAACAAAATAGGGTTAAGATTGATGATGGTCTCTTCTTTTTTATATTTTAAACAGTTTTCATCTAAGAATCATTCAATGTGTCTGTCAATCAGCAATGAAATAGGCCAAATATCTCATCTCTCTTGCACTTATGTTTGCGCAGATTTTAAATGGTTCCACAGATTGCGCGTGAAACATATTTGCTTCTTTTATTCTCTTATGTTGATCAAATAACTCCATCACTCTCTTTCGTAAACTGAATAGGTCTATTTTACATTTAAAAGGGCTATATTTCCTACATTGAATATTTTCAGCAACTGAAAACTGCTTTGAGTTCTAATGACTTGTTTCTATTTATATATCTGGTTAAAAACGGTGTATCTCACATTGTACTCCTCTCCATTGTGCATAATATAGTGAAAATATTCTATATAAATTATCGTGAATTTTAGGTGAATCAATGGCTAACGTGGCTACAAGAAGCAGAATCCGAGGAGGAGGAGGGCGACGAGTAAAGTAGGAATTATTAACGTGTTTTTTCACATAAGTAGAAGATTAAAAATAATTTAAGATGCAAAATGGTAAAAACAAACGTTGGGAGTGGATTTCTCCTTTCCTTTTTTTTAATAACGGTTAATTATTGTAATTAATGTAATGTTAGGTTGTCCTCTCGATGAGAAATTTTCCGTCTTAGATTTTTTTTTTAATTCATACGTGGATTTGAGGATGAGTTGAACGCGGTTTTATTCACTCTCGAATTAATTGAAGCCGGAACGGACTGGAAAAGTAATCGGGGCTGTGAAATTTGTACGATGTTCCTCAATTACATGGTAGAGTTTTCGTAAAAAAAGGTTCGTTTTAAGCACTCAATAATAAGACTAACATTTATCCTCTTTAGCTTAAAACAAATCTCCGCTCGAGTTTAATTTAGTCAAACAGTTTTCTAGAATCATTTAACGTTTCTATTTGCACCTTAACATAGTTCCGATATTGGGAATTTGTGGAGAAAACTCTACTATCGACTGCCGAAGCGAAGGTCCGGTCCCGTTTGTATTCTTGTTATTTTAGCCAAACAAAGGACGCAGAAAATTTTTTGCGAGAATCTAGGTTGAATTTGTTTCTTTAGTTTATAATTTTTGCGTGTTCGGCGAACGATTTATCGGAAAAAATCTTTCTCCAATCTTAATGGACTTTTAGTGGAATTTGTACGGTGAGGAGGTTAGTTTAGATGCAATTCTTTTCTTATTCTTATGAATGTTTTATTTTTTCTGATTGATTAGTAGAGATCTAAGAGGCGGTGTCTGATGCAATTTCGTCGCAATTTTTTTAAGTAATCGTAAGTAATGATAAGACTTAAGCGTTTGTGATCACCACGTTCAGATTGCCTTAGAATCTTGCGATTTGTGACGAAAGGGCATTACAAACTACAAGCGCGGATTGCGGATGGTTAAATTTATTTCTATCTTTCGCAATCCGCAAATTGTAATCGCCCAGATGACTGCTGGAAAAAATGAGCTTTTTCATTACGTAAAACTTTTATGTGTTCTATATTTTGTGTAATTCGTACCCGAGTAATGTATTTTCTCAAGTATTTTTTTTTGATTATATGAAATAATTAATTTTCTCTGTATCTTAGATTAATGTCACTAAACAAACTGAAACAATTTTATTGTGAAAAATTTATGTTTATTAAATTATTCGATGGTATTTTGCTGTCGATGTCAATTTTACTTGTTTTTATTGGAGTTGAAAGTTGTATCAAGGTTCGGCTGAACTTTAAAGAACATCAAACCGAGAATGTTGGAACATTACATACATAATTTTTGTTCCAAGGCAAATGGTATGCTTTTATTAACAAAGTTTGATTTAATTTTTCTTGACCTTAATCAAGCTAGTTCGTTAAGAGTTGTATTTTGATTCTTATAAATAGCATATTGAAATACAGCGGTGCACTGATTATAGTTTATTGTGTACTATAAAAATCTCAATTAGAAATATTAAGTATGCTCATTATAAACAAAGCCGTACATTAAAATCTTATTTATAACAAGGGCATTTCATTATTCAATGAGTCATTAATCTTATTAAAATTATACCATACTATATCTATTTAATGAAACCAAAGAAAACCTTCAATTTTTTAAAACCAAATGTAGGAGTTATGCTTACTTTAACCCGCTTTATCTTCAGTATACATAACTCATGATTATTTTCATTTTTATCACATCGGGTTCAAAACTCGTAACCTACTCGAAAAATTCAACAACTTCTTGTAACTCTCTTCCCCGGGCCTGCTCGTGTGCCCACCTCTCCTCGGCCAGTTTGTCTGTTAAGGACCACTTAAAATGGTATATCTTCTTGTCGCAAATGGAACATTTCTTGTTCCCGAAGGGCGGCAGCTTCATGTAATTGAAGAAACAGTCTTGGTGGAAGAGGTGCCCGCAGTAAACCCTTTCGATGTGCTTTGGGGAGTTCTCATCCTTCTCGAGTAGCTGAAAATTTGAACCAATTTAACGTAATGCATAAGACATTGTTTCCTTCTTATTTCTTACGTCTGGGTTAGAGGGGAAGCAAATCTTTTTGCAAAACTGGCAATTTTCATTGGGCAATCGTTTAACGCAATCGATGAGAAACGATACTGTCTTTTGTAACGAAGGGCGCGGTTTAAATGGAGGCTCGTTCGGTCTTTTCTTCAATGGGGGCTCAACGCATCTCCTGGCTATTTCTTGAGCCTGCGAAATCATGTGCCTTTGCAAGGCAGGCGAGAAATTCGTACGAGTATCTTCGATTCTAAAATAATCATTATTGGAAATCTTATGTTTATTTCGGTTAAATCAACGTACTTAATGGCGCTAGTTGGGTAATCGTCTGGAACGATAATTTTACAATTTAAATAATATTTCACGTTGTTTACTTTCAAAATGATGCTAGAAGTTTTCTGTTTCAACCTGAACTCATCTTCGGAGCTGATTAAATTCCTTAACTCGCTTATTTCTTCATAGCAACAAGACAATGGATTTTCGTCTAGGAAATTACGCAGGAATTTTATCGTATTCAGCACTTGAGGTTTACCTAAATATTTCTTGATTTCTTGCTCGCATACGTTCGTCAGTTTCAACAGCAACTTCTCAGATAACGTTTTGCTTTTTAGCTCGATTAATAGGGGCGTGTTGGGGTAATCGCCTCTGAACTGTATGCACACTACGAGTTTTTTAAAATCAGTCCTTTTTATTTCGGTGCGGACCATTGTCGGCACGCATGATACGAGTCTTGTTCCCGGCACGACATGTTCACAAAGTTTTCTGACTTCTGAGAGCTCATCGTCGATTAATCCCATGAAGTGCGATAACTCGATTCAAATATTTCGAATCCGACGAATCGTTCCAGTCCTTTTTTTAATTTATATTTGTTGTTTATTTTGCCTTCTCCTATGTCTCTATTAAAAAAGTGAAAATGACATTTGACGTTCTCCAGTGTTCCCAACAATAGGACGAAAAACAACTAGGGAAGTTTTAGAAAAAAAGAAGAATATATTTTTAAAAAACATTTATAGGTTATGTGATTTGATATTTTGTAGGCGTAATTGACTTAATTATAAATTCTTTAATATATTTCGGTGGTTAAATAAAATGGCAGAGGCAGATTCGATACAGGAAGGATTCTTGTGCCCAATTTGTCACAAAGATCTACGTTCTGCCAACAATTTAATATCCCATTTTCAAGACTTGCATTCCGAAGAAAAAGATCTCCTTAGTTCAATTAAAGGTAATTCAATTAATACAGCCTACTTTCTACTTAATGCACGCCTACTTTAAGGTATTTATGGGAAAGTCAAGAAAAAAATACTGACCGTCGAGGACCAAGATCTGGAGCACTTTAAAAATGAAATATCCCTGCAAAAAGAGAAGTATTACTTAGAATACAGCGAACCTCAGGATCCCGGACCGGCCGTGTCGCATACGGAATATTTCAAATCCGTCAGAAGAGATAGACTGGATCACAGAACAGCAGAAACCAACAAATTAATAATCAGACTCGACCGGCTATTAAGAGTTTTCGCATCCGATAGAAAACAACAAGAACAAGAACTGGTCGCTTGGTTGGACGGTTCAACGGTTTCCAGATGTCCCTCATGCGCTTCTTCTTTTAACATAACGCGAAGGCAACACCATTGTCGATTGTGCGGCTCTATTATGTGTAACTCGTGTTCCTATTTTCTACCGTACGAAATAGCACGTAAGTTTATTTTAGCTACACTATTAATCTGAATCAGTTAATTGTTTTATTCGTTTCAGAGACAATTGTAACGCCTCTAAACAGCGGGTCTAGTAAAGAGCAATCGGGTAAAGAATCCGAGACTTTAAGGATATGTTACCACTGTCTGGATATGCTAGAAAGCCGGAGACGTGTTCAAATAGATCAAGTTTTACAACCGATAATCTGCCAATTATACACCCATTTACAGAAAATGAAAATACAAGTACAAGGATCCGTAGACATGTATTATAAGGTGTTATTCATAAAATTGAATCATCTTCGCGATTTTATAGTGTTTCGTTTTTAGATATACAATTCTTTAAAATCCGGAGAGTCTACATACATCCTTCAAGACCTCCAATCTCTCAGAAACACAATTGCGGATAAAGCTCAGATGATCGATACACTCAGCAAAAAAATAGATTCTCTACCAGTAGATCCAGAGACACCGAAATCAGCGGTCCTACAAACGGGGATTAGAAAAGCTACATCCAGTTACATCAAAGAAGAACTGATTACGCTCCCTCCACCTCCTACGCCCGAAGAATTGGAGAAAACCAAAAGAGAACGCCTGGCAAAAGTGAAAGTTGACGACATTCCAGTTAGCAGTACTAGCATAAAGAAAGTGACGGTAACCACCGGTTGGTCCCCTGCGAACGTTGCCAATGAATCCACGGTTTCCGAAGAAGCGGATCCCCTTCTTGAGCAAATGAACATTGTAAGGAGTTACATCAAACAAGCCAGGGAGGCTCAGAGGTTCGATGAAGTGAAATCGTTGCACGAAAATCTAAACATGTTGAAAGATATGTATAAAAAACAGTTGGGTAAAGAGAAACATTGATCGAGAGAAACTATTAATTTTATTTATTCGTAATTGTTTGATGTTTTAGAGTATTTTATTTATTGGCTGTAATATAAGGATAAATGTTGCACTGCTGTTTTGTAGTGAAATTAATGGGAATTCAATAAAAGTATTATAATTTCAAAGTAGTTTTTGGATGTTGTGATCTTGCGACAGTTGGGTCAAATAGGTTCAAAAAATGGCAAATTTTCTACATGTTTTATTAGCTACAACTACACATCAAATAAATATCAACAAAAATTAAACGTAAGCGGAGTTTTTACATATAAATAGTTTACACAGCATTCAAAAATCAGATCTACAAATGGAAGGGAGACGGGAAGAATTAGTCTATCGATCAAAAATGTCAAAATCAAGTTATATGATAAATAATTAAGTTACAATAACATTTTTATCTTACAATTTTACATATTTAAGTATTAATTAAGTACATAGACATCTTAATTTGGGGCCGACAAAACAATCCAAATTCATACCAGCAGGATAAATACCTACTAATAGAATTTAACAGTAACTTACTGGTATACAAGTATGTCTTTTATGTAACATTCAGAAATATTACATTCATGACTAGAAAATAAAAATCAGTCTGTAAATTATAATATTGACTAGAAATAATACTATAGATCAAAAAAATAAAAAAATTGATACTTGGCAACTTCTTGGTACTACTCATATTAAAGTGCAATTAAATGTGTCCTGAAATAAACGGAGCTCCTTAATTCGATCAAGATAAATTAAAATTCCTTCAAGTAATCGAAACATGAACCCCAAACATTGCTTATTACAAAACTACTTCAACTCATAAAAGGATCTAATGGATCTTATCACCCATTTGTACCTTAGATACCATATAAATCCCCACAATTAACCCGAACAATCCAATAGCGCTGCCGAATATCTCGATGACTAGAATTTTCATGAAAAGTGAAGAATCTGCGGCATCGGCTAAAGCTGCCCCGGAACCGACTATCCCAACAGCCATACCGCAAAACAGATTAACCAACCCGACTGATAACCCGGATCCAAACATTAAGTATCCTAGAAACCAAACGCTGTATTACACGTAAACCATTTAATACAATCGTATTACCTGCCAGCCAATTTTTGTTCCTCAAAAACTCCGTACTAGTAACCAAGCTCCAAGTGAAATCCTCCATGTAACCAGACAACACGATGGCAATTATCAAACCATATATAGCGACAGCTTCGCAAAATATTACTGATATAAGGTTCTTCGTTTTAATGCGGGGTGCTTTGACGCCTCCACCTACGATGCTCACTCCGGTGGTGTGTATTCCGATTGCAGCTCCTACTATGGATAGGGACACGGAGAGGCCTATACCCAAGCAGCACCACATGTGGGGAGAGGTGTTCTCGAGGAACCAACCGACGCTAATGCGTTCTCCCTTGCCGGTTAAGACATGGTACAAGACGAGGATGATTGTAGAGAGCAATGTTGTCACGAACAGGGTGCACCCGAGGACTGTGCGAATATTTAAATGATTCATTATGGGATTATTTTAAAGGTGATTGCGATATTGCAAGTGGGTGGTTAAAAACAACCCGTTGGGTTGAATAATCGGGTCCAACTTATTTTAAAAATATCAATAATAGTTGACCTTGTAGAGTTGACATTTTCAATGACTTTGACAGTAGTGACAGTTGTGTGCTTTTTTATTTCGGAACATCAGTTAATTCTTGTTTGTTGATATTTTTAATTTTGATTGTAAATCAAATTTCAAGTAATGCTATTGTCGATGTTATCTAAAGAATGCCAGTAAATTCTCCAAATAGTGCAAATTTTAAATTTATTATTGTACTTGTCAACTGTCATTTCTATATTTCATTGATAAATTTTTGGCGCAAAAATTTTTCACAAAAAAGAAGAAGTTTCGATTTCAAACAAACTGAGGAGCAACGCAATGGAATTTCATTAATAAAAAAAGCAATGCGTACTACTAGTAGTAAATTTTCCGCAAGGTTACTCGCCCTTTCTTCATTCTATGATAAAGTGGATAAACTGGATATTCTATTACTTATTTTGAATCTCATGAATTACAATATATGTATTTTTTTCTATATTAATTTTAAAATTTGTCCAGAACTAAATAATTTTAATTAATACAAAATAGTAAATAAATAGATACCGGAATATTTTTATAGCGAATCAATTATTGCAACCAATTAGATGAATTGATCCAAGTTAATTTGTGCATAAAAAATAAGACGGCTACATAATTAGACAAAAAATGATGTGTGTCAAACTCAAATGTCTCTAATTTTGTAAGCAAATCCCTGTTATAAAATATTGTAGAATACAATGGCTGCCGCGCCGCCACGTAAGGAATCGAATTTTCTAAAGGACTTTATGGCCGGAGGAATATCTGCGGCGGTGGCCAAAACAGCCGTAGCTCCCATCGAAAGGATCAAATTGCTATTGCAAGTGCAAGCTGCCAGTAAACAGATTTCAGCCGAAACTGCTTATACAGGTATAATTATTTAATTGACCTAGATTGTTAATTTATTTATCTAATATTTGTAATTTGGTCAAATGAAGTCCAAACACACAAGTTTTTTCACCTATTATTCTTATTCCTTTATTGCATGTATTTCTTTATTCTCCCAAAATTTTTATGTATAATCCGATTACCACATGAAGAGGAGAAATTTGAAGAATTCGAGCAGCTATATTATCTAAACTTCTTAACGATTAATCTTTATCAATTTTAACTTTCCAGGAATAATGGATTGCCTCGTTCGAATCCCGAAAGAGCAGGGTTTTCTCAGCTTTTGGAGAGGCAACCTCGCGAACGTAATCAGATACTTTCCAACGCAGGCTCTGAATTTCGCGTTCAAAGATAAATATAAAATGTTGTTCATGCACAATGTCGACAAAAAAACGCAGTTTTGGAGGTATTTCATGGGCAATTTAGCCTCCGGTGGCGCTGCTGGAGCGACATCCTTATGCTTCGTCTATCCACTGGATTATGCCAGAACGCGGTGAGTCCAGAACACTAAAGGATGTAAATTTTGCCTTATAAACTATCGCTAGAACTGTAATGAAGTTGTCATGATAAATAAGTACGAGTGTATAGGTACTCAATAATTAATAATTTGTAGTTTGGGTGCGGATGTTGGCAAAAGCATGCAAGAGAGGCAATACACCGGCTTGGTAGATTGCTTGAAAAAAACATTAAAATCAGACGGTATAATTGGTTGGTACAGAGGATTTATAGTATCCGTTCAAGGCATAATTATATACCGTGCAGCTTATTTTGGCATGTACGATACCATAAAGTCCTCCATGCCGAAGAACACCAGCTTCCTCCTGTCCTTTATAATCGCAGAGGCGAGTACTTGGAAATAGGTTAGGATGTTTGGAAGTTTTCAATTTTTAAATTTCCAGTCGGTGACTATTATGTCCGGCATATTGTCATATCCTTTGGATACCGTCAGAAGGCGCATGATGATGCAATCCGGAAGGGCCAAAAGCGATGTGATGTATAAAAATACGATGGACTGTTGGGTGAAGATAGCGAAAAACGAAGGACCGAAGGCGTTTTATAAAGGTGCATTTTCTAATGTTTTGAGAGGAACCGGGGCAGCGCTGGTTCTGGTTTTCTACGATGAGGTGAAGAAATTGTTATAAAATTGGTAAGTTGACCAGCATATTATATTAATAATTATAATTGGATGTAAGAAAGTAATAAAATAGTATCTTCCTTGTTTTATATTAACTATTATTTTTCATTTGTTTCATCAAATATTCATCAGTACTCTATAATTGGATATAAATTTATTTTTGAATTTTAGTTGGAGGAACAAAATACGATGGGGTGAAGCAATTTTTTCTTCTTAAGATTAAAATACAGGTTCTCTCCTCTAGGACAATTCGAATTGTTTTCTATTTAAAGAATTAGCTTAGTGTGTCATAAGGAGAGTAGGTATATAGAAATTGCCTGTGTTTACAAACAAATTAATATTTATTTAGTATATTTATTATACATTAGTAATTTTTTGACGACATTTAAAGTGTATCCAGTAAAATTTGCTTACTTTTTGTGCTGTAATAAATAACGCTCAAATATATTTGTTTTCTTCCTTACGGTTAAAATTCAATTATAAATTAGGCATGCATGTAATATGTAGATAATACAAAGTATGAAATTAACGCATCGTTGATTTTTAAATTTAGAAACCGATCAGTCGTTATAACGAATTGCGAGCAAGCACTTTCAAATTCTATCTCGTTAACTGTATTAATTTACTAACGATTTTGTCGATACGTAGTGAGCTATAACAAATCAATCATTTCATTAATAACGAGCATTTTATTACGGCGAATTTAATTGATTGAAGAAAAAACCGAAATTCGTCAGTTTCGTTAATTTCGTAGACGAATAAAATCGGTTAATTAAAAGTTAATCAATAGAAAATGACCATTTCCTTAAGCAGAAAGAACTCATTGTTTTCATGTTAATTAATTTGCGTTTCGATTCAAACGATGCCGTGCAACTTTTACGTGCACACGCACACAAACAAACGCATACACACATACACATAGTTCCATAGCTTGTGATACCTGCGATCAAGTGAAAGTAAACTGAATCGAACCCCATCCAAAAGCGCGTCTGGCCAAAGCTGGTCAGTAGTTCAGTTAGATTCATTGAGATTGCGAACTCCATGGTGACAGGTGCATCGTCCAATCGCGCGTCGTTATCCTCAACCCTCGCCCGATCGCCAGCAGAGCTTTTTCCGCGCGGGTTTTTCCCTCGGCGGTGAACAGTTTTCCCCGTCGCCCGGTCTTCCAGTGCGCGAGTGCGATCCGGAAAATGAGAGGCGCCTGGTGGTGCCTTCTCTGGGCCCTCGTCGTCGGTAATGAGGCCTCCAAAGGTATTTCCTCCAGATTGCCGAGGACCAGTGCAGGACAATTGGCGGCGGCGGCCGCCGCTCAAAATAAAACCGTTCATCAATTGAGGGGTTTGAATGTGAAAAACGTCACCAGTACGATTACGAGTACTTTGGGACCGCCGCCTGGTAGAGGATCCACCAGCAGAGCACGGTAATTTTCTTTAATTTTCATACTACACTTGTACATAAATGTTTCTAGAGAGTATTTTGACATGGGTGGTCTTTAATCTTAGGGTTAAACATCATTCTTATACCATGTATAAGGTATTATTTTGCTACTTAGAAGTGCAAGATGTAAAGCACTAACATAATGAAACTTTTGTAATGAATCTCACGAAAAATTATACTGGTGTGAAGAAAATCAATGGATGTTTCATTAACAAAAAAATTTTACCCATTTTTCCCTATAAACTTTGTACCAAAAATGCACCCCAAAAATGTTAGTACTTATAATAATTTTGGTTCTTATAGTGTCTGAAATTTTTATAAAAATAGATAGCAAAATCAATTCGTAAATTTTTTAATACTTTTTTGGTTTAATAATCTTTATTTAATAAAAAACCCCACAATATGCCCTTATTTATAAATAAACCATAAAATATAAACAGTAAACATAATTTTCTTCACCTCATTTCCTCTCGTTTCATAAAATATTCATACAACATACTCGATTACTATCTGATATTATTCAAATATTCAAACTATAGAAATCCAGTGACACGATTATCAAAGGTTTTCTCTAATCCCATTTACAATAAAAATTTTAAACGCATATTTATGAAATTCGCACGATTATCAGATAATTTTTTTAATTCAAAGCCGAAAGATTACCTTTGCTCGAGCGAAGACAATTGGATGTACGTGATAAATCCTTCTTTTGCTCAATCTTAACTAAATGCCACTTTGTAGGATATCCTTGTTTTTGTATTTTTTCTCATTAGAACAATTAAAGGATTTTGTTTATCTCTTCATCTAAATTGCGATTGCGGCATCGCCCATTAAATAAACGTACATTATTATTTTTTAATTAAGTTAATGTAGGTATATAATTTTGCACAAAATACTAATAGAATTTGGGATTAATTTTTAATAGTTTTGGTATATTTTAATATTAATAGCGTGTATTGAAACAGCAAATTAAAGCATTGAGTAATTAATCATTTTAAGTAATTATTAATACCTAGAATTTGAAATACTTAATAAGAACCTGAAGTTATGTAATACGTGAATGAAATTTTAAATAAATATATCACTAAAACTGGTCCTCAAAGAATTTCAACATCGACTTCGAGTTTCTTGTAGTTATGCATCTAATTCGGTTTATCTTTTTTTAACGTTCGCATTAAATTCGAATTTATTTCCCGTATTTTACCCAAACGTGGTCTAATGAATTATTAATTACCGCCCGAAAAGCCATTGACCTTGTATGCACTTTTAACTCCGAGTGAATTACACAATTAATCCATTACACCATGAGAAAGAATTCCTCGAGTTTTAACAATCGAAAAGTGTGCTTTAATGAGGAAAATGTTTTAAATTCGAGATGAAAATCTAAAACATTGCCCAATTTTACAGTGTATGAAAAACGCAGATTTTTCTTGAATTAGAAACAATTGTATCTGCTAACTTGAATGCACAATAATATTACGTTTTTTTAATTTTAAATGAAACTACGATGCATATCTAATAACTTAATAAGATATTTTGTAACAATTTTATACTGCTTGAGTATTTCAAAATGTGGTTTGGTACATTAAAACTGATATTGAAGAAAAATGTACGAATATTAATATTTTTGGAAAGAAGTTTCGGAGAAATTCTATAGTCTGATTGAAAGTTGATTTAACCAGCACGCTCGATTATAAAAGTATCAAGTTATTTCAAAAGAAAGAAATTTTAATGATATCACTTCTTTTATTGTCAACAAACGGCATATTGCCAATTAATTCGTCTTATTTTCTTGTAAACATGCGCATTTTTATCTCGACAGTAACGAATTCCCTGCGATTAAACTGAGCTTAATTAACTTCTTTCTTCATCGATATTCTTTCGAATATCCTTTCATACAAATCCATATACTGGTGTTAAAAGATAACGTATCGCTCATCGTATATTAGATAATACCAATCTAATTACCAGTTAGACGGATTTATGTAACGCTTTTGAATATTTTCCAACAATTACATGTTTTAGCAAACTTTTTAAGCAGAAGAAAACCAACCGATCGAAAATTATACAATGATTCGCACGAACTATAAAATGCTCGGAATATTTTAAAACGTGCTAACCGTAAAATTATATAAGAAATTTTTATTAAATTAATATACCCGCGTCATGATCGTATCCAATTAAATTGGCAAATTAAATTAAATTAATGATGATAGAATGTGATTTATTGAAGCATCTATACTACATAGACTGTCCTAAAATGAGTGCTTGAATTTTTATAAAAAATTGAGATGTGATTTAAAGTAGGAAGCAGATTTTAATTCGTAAAAAATTAATGCAAGTAGTTAAATAATTGCAAGTAAAAAATATTAATAATGACGATTACTTCGTCCAAGAAAACAACAAAATAATTCAAAGAAGAATCAATACAAGTTGATTTGATAGAAGATTAAAAACCAATTGGTGGGTACCAAAAAATATGTGTGCAAATCTGTGTATTTATTTTTGTTATCTTCAAGCGTTGGGATATCCTCTAATTTCTCTAATTGCGATTTCTCTAATTAAGATTCCTGTACTCTTTTATTTCGTGACATTAAAATTTTATCACCGTGACTTTGAGGAAAAAATCTAAATTAATCAATATATCTATCGATCATTTGCATCTAATATTAACGACTGTCGGATTTTTTTGTCGAATTTACTCGACCTTGCTCCAAAAATGTTCCCCGGGCTTTATTTTTATCAAAAGTTTCAATCCTCTTTCGGCCTTGCTTGGAGGCAAACGTGTTGCAGGTGTTATGCTGATTTGTAAAAATGATAGCATTATTTAGAGGAAATGTAATTGAAAACGAACTAACAATGCCAGCTAATTAGATGGTAAAGACTGGAACAATATTAGTGATAATTATTTGTGTTAATATAATGAGTGTCCAGCAGATGTAAATATTAGGAAATATTTTGAATGATTCAGAGCATTATCAATTCAATCTTTGCGATATCAAACATAAATTTTATTAATACCGCCACTATTGCTAAACGCACAACGATCGAGAGACATTATTACGAAATTCGATCCAATTTCGGACGAGATTAAAATATCGCTATACTAACGCAACATTTTTGCCCATTTCTAGATCAAATTTTAGGCGTTTTTCGATAACTTGCATAACGGACGAAATTCGACATTAATTATAATTATCTAAACGGAATATGTCGAAAAAGAAATTCTACTAATTTTTCGGCGTTATTTGCATTTGAGCGCCGAAAAAAACCCGGCGGAACGTTGACATTTGATAGCGGTGCGCAATATACGTTGAAGTGAAAGGATGGATAATTGTTCGGTTCGGTAATAAATTTCGTTAACTCGCAATTTGATGTACGTCTCGTATTAAATCGTCGAAATATACCCGTAAATATACGAGAGGTTTACAATCAATGACGGCCAGAACGCATCGGATTTAATGGTCTCCGATGCGGATTAATTTTTTTCCAACCGGCATTTTCGACCGTAATTAACTATAAATCTTTATTATACATCTAATAAAATTGGTTAATTTGACGCTTCTACTATAAAAGTAGGTGCAATAAACAGGTAAGTATCCTGTTGACTTAATAATGTTCCAAATAATGAGTAAAATTAATTAATTTTTACGCTTTAAAAGCGCTTTTAATACCCCATGAATTAATGCCAAAGAACTATAAAGATGTTCTTTTATTACTTTTCTTCCTAATACAAATTTTCAGAACATGTTTTATGAATTTCTTTCATAATTTCAGACTATTTCCATTCATGTATTTGTACTTTTAGAAGTCGGACAAAACCATTTAGAGATTTCACTTTTTGTATCACATTATAATAGGTGTTATTTGTATTATTATTAATTCTGTCAGTTTAACACCTGTTCGAGTACCTGCGTGGGTACTATTTAAAGCCGGAAGAAAGTCGTGAAGAGTTTTGGACATTCATGAGGGCTTGATTGAATAAAAACAGACTAATTATCTCTTAAATATGCAATGTCTTCGATAGGCGAGGTTTTTCATATAATAAATTTGCAATACACTTCGAAACATATTAATTATTTATATTTAAAGGACAGTAAAATGGCCAACCCGTCCTCTTGATTTATCACCCTTATATTTTTTAATGAATCTTCTGAAAGTTGTGCCTAAAAGCGTATCTATTTGCAGAGTTTATGCTACAGAATTTGATTAAAACGGTCGGTATATAAGCCACCGAGTGCCTTTGGCGTTAAATAAATTTCTCAAGTAGCCTTCTCGAATTGTACTTGCGACTCTTCTGAAGAAACAGGTAGATTTTACATAATTCTCGACGTACTGGTTTTGTTTGAACAATACGTAATACGACAAGGCGGTATTGTTTGCACGAATTAACTCGCCTAGCTGGAAGGTTATCCGAACGAATAAGATCATTGAAAATTGGCTTCGTTAATCCTAATTGCTGTTTGTTTCGGTTTTCGAATTGAGTCACGTCGGCCGATTTCAATCGTTTTCCATCGAGCAAATCGTGTCGATTTTGGAGTACTTTTGCTACTTTCTAGAGCCCTCTAGGGCGTTTGCAATCCTATAAACAATTAGTTTGCAAACGGTTCTTTAATTACTTATTAATTGCAGTATACCTTCAAACCATTTATAATTGTTATAGTATGGTAGTTGTAGAATTATTTACAGCACGTTTCAAAACGCTAGTTACAATAAAATTAATTCTATTAATAGGTAAGTACATTAGTGAAGATATTACACGGAGACCTTAGCACTATTGACACAGGTATTACTCAAGATATTACTATAAAATATGTACCGGCGATCGTTTCGCGGTTTCGAAACGTATCCATTTTCTCAATTATACCCATTGTAAGTACCGAATATTTTGCAATTTTTAGGGTAAAGAATTGTTAATTTACACCAACACTGTTTGGTATTGAATATTTAACTGTTACAAATATCCTGCATTTTAAGTATTCT